TTAAGAAAATCAATATTAGTTATTATCTCGAATTTTTCCATTTTTAAAAAATATCAATTTTTTTATTTTTATTATTTATTTTCCAAATTTTGTTAGGGTTTTACTATTTGAAGCATTGTAAGTCCTTTGATGCCGCTGTTTATTGAATTGAATAAAATTTCTAGTGAGTTTTCTTATTTTTGTGATATTGTTCTTCTTTCCTATAATTTTCCGTTACGTCAATTTCCCTCTCTATCATCTTTTCAATCACACATTTTTCAATAATATAATTTTTCAATAAGATAATATTACATGTAAATCAAAACAATTTTCCTTCTTTTTCACTACACATTCTCCCAAAAAATACAATTCCATAATATATTTTACAAAAATTTCTCATTATAATGGATGTCAAACAAAAGCTATGTTTGTCTCATAAACAAACATTGCAACCAAGGTGGCTCTTTCCCCTAGTGGACAATGTACTCCATTTAAATCCACCAATCGCAGAAACTAACAAGACAACATAGGTGGGAGGATAACCCTTGGATATTGATGCCAATTTATGCTACCCAATAGCACCAACCATAGAAGTTGACAAGATAGCCTTGGTTCTCATGGTCCTATCAACGTGGCCCATACTAGCCAATTGGAATCCACAAAAGACACGTGAAGGCTCAAGGACCAAGTACAATCACCAGTAGATTTACAAGCTAATGGTGTCGGATCTATAATGCCTATATAAAGGGGCAATTTCACCGTTTATAATATGGTCCTATATCTTCGTAGAATTTCATTCAATTCTCATTCTCTTTCATATTACACCCCGCAGTACTCCAATAGCATCTTATTCTAGGTAAGTTTAGCAGTCTCATTTGTAGTCCATATAGAGAGTTCAAAAAACGTGTGTTACTATTATGATAGTTGATAGTTGTATCTTGGAAGACATGTATCGAAAATTCGTAAGAACTAGTACGGTACAATTTTGTCTTGAGGAAAATGATCAAACCTTACCTCGATCAAAGTTTATTTTTTGCATTTTTCTAACATTTGTACGTTGGTGTTTTGTCTGGTCCAAGTTTTGCTTTGCAAGCTATTGGAAAATAATTAGTTTATTAGACACAATATTATTTACAAACTAGTGTATACTACAGCGATGAATAAAAGTTGAAGGAAGGTGAAGTCATGACAACCCTTGAAGCCTGTTTCTATTATTTAGTTTTGAAATTTTTCAACAATCTGTAATAAAGAAAGCAAGTGAGGCAAGCCAAGATTCGATTTGAAGTTCGATGATGCATCATTTTCAACTATTATAGTATCTGCTCCTATTATTTATGGTATAGTCAATTTGTATTTACTTTGTCGAAACTCAACGAGTGTCCTCAACTTAAATCGTGATGAATTTTCAAAGATTATAAATTTTAGTTGTGAATTTGAATAGATTTTTCACAAAATTCATAAAAATCTCATTGAGAGTGGTTAAATTTCAAAAGAATTTGTTATATGTATTTTTAAGCATGAAATACATCCAAATCTTCTAAAATTTCTCTATTATTGAAATCCTTTTAAACATATGTGAGTTATTGGAAATATTTAAATTTGAAGAATTTAATTGAAATTCATTAAAATCTTAGTTGGGGACATCTAAATTTTAATTGATTTTGTTAAATTAATTAAAATCTCAATTGGAGACATTTGAATTTAGAGCAATTTTAAAATTCATCAAAATGTCAATTGAGGACACTTAACCCATGTTTGATTCATATTAGTTTAAAATTCATTTGTCTCAAATTTATTTTCAACTGCACATTCTCATAATAAAATATTGAGCACGTAATTCAAGATTTTTCTACCTTTTAATCATATATTCTTTAATAAATCACTTTTATAAAACTCATTTTGCTGAAATAATGAGCATCAAAGAGGACTTAGTAAGAAAATAAAACAGTTACACTAAGCTTTAATTTGGGTCATTTAAAGGGTCAACCCGTGATATTTACGGGAAGAAAAGTTGACATGACTTGGAAGTGAAGGGTAGTGGAAGGTCCAAGACCGGCTTAAAGTAATGTTGTGAATTTGAATTGATTGGTGGACAGGTTGTACATGACTTGACTCTCCAATGCTTTTTGACAATGCCCTCTTCTTTTTTTTTTTTTTTTTTNCCACTCTATTTCTTTTGTTTTTTTTTTTTTTATATCCAGGTATCCCAATTTGCACCAGACTATATCCTGGACCACCCATCCCCGACCCCTCAGTGACGGGTGGAAGGTTAATCGCGGTATAAGCCCAAGTTGACCAGAGTCCGTGCACCCTTTATACTCCTGACCCCAAGGGAGCCCTCCTCACTGCCTTCCACATCCTTGCCTTCCACAATAAATTGTGCCTTCCAAGAACATACCTTCCAGGATTCGAATTCCCCACCCTGAGGTTGCAAGCCCCGCAATGTCCGTCCTTTGCAATGCCCTCTTCTTTTTCATTTGGTGGAATGATATCTAAGTGCACTGAAGAAAGTTTAGGCATACAAAATTTCCATTCGGCACACGACCATAAATAATGTAGGAGTTCAATATAAAAGAAATGAAATCAATTATGTTGATCGACAAAATTTGTAATTATGCGGCATCAAAGCCAAATAATACAGTAATGAATAAAATATTGAACCCCCAAGGTGTACTTACTCTAGTTAAAATCAATATTAACTCTAATCAAGTAGTCAATTTGTGAATTGTGATTTTAAAACAAACTATCTAACTAAACTAATGAGCAACTATAAAGAGTTTGTAAAATCGATTAATGCACACCATGATTTTGAATCCCCCTTTATTAGTCCATTTTAACACAACTCAAGACCATGTAGGGGAGGTAATTAAGTTGAGCGACTCATCGACACAGTATTATGTTGCCACTATTATTTATATTTATCTATTTGAAAGTTCAAAACTTGTGGGGGAATATAAAATAAGTTTCAACCTTTTCAAAATTAAAACCTACAAATTTTTAGTTTTTCTTTTTAATTTTCAGGTTTAATTATAAAATATAAAAATCATAATTTTGGATTAATTGTGGGGGTTGGAATTTGTTTCTATAAACACGAGGGGTTTTCATTGTGTAAGACACAACTTGGAAGATTATTTACTACACATTTTCATATTATATTTACATAATTTTGGCAATTCGATAAAGGCTCATTATTTATCTTTGTGATCGTGCCCATATAAGGAGAATAAACTGCAAGCCAATTTTATCTTAGAGCCGTGTGTTTTCGAAAGTAACCTTCACAACCTTAAAACATCATTTTTTATGTGATTTACTAATGCTTGCTTTCTTTATAGCTCTTCTCTCCTCTACTTGTATTTTTATGTTATTTAATTGATTATGTTAATACATGAAATATCTACACACAAATCATCCCTTTTCCCAATAATCTAAAGTTGTGTTGGGTGATTTGCTTGTAGATTTCGGGCTCATCATGCATAGGTGTGAATTTCTTCCACGTGAATGAATTAAGGTGGTTACATCAAATGGGCTATAGTATATATTTGCTTTGAGATTTTGGGATGTCAATGAGGTCAAGATTAACATTATAACTACTTGGAATCAAAGGGAAAGTTGGAATTAAAAAATCGTTCTGAGAAAAAAATAGAAACATCCACAATTGGTTCATTTGAGTTTTGCAATACTTTTCTTCTTATGAAATATTAGTGCTTTGACTGCCCACAATCGGGAATATATCCAAATATTTTAAAATCTCACTATTAATGAAATCCTTTTAAAAATATAGAGGTATTGACAATACTTAGATTTTAAAGGATTTTATTGAAATTTATTAAAATCTCAGTTGAGACACCTAGATTTTAGTTGATTTCATTAAAACCCATTAAAATCTCATATGGGGACACATGAATTTAGAACGATTTTAAAATCATCAAAATCTCAGTTGATGACACTTATCCCCCGTTTGATTCCCATTGTTTCATCTCGTTTTTTCTCAAACTTATTTTCAATTATACATTCTCACAATAAAATAATGTGCACATATTTCAAAAAAAAAAAAAAAAATCCTATCTTTTAAAGATGCATTTTTAAAAAATTCACTGGTACAAAACTCATTTTGAAGAAATAATGAACATCAAAGAGGACTTGGTAAGAAATTAAAACATTTTCACTTAGCTTTAATTTGGTCATTTAAAGGGTCAAGTCACATGACTTGAAGTGCGGGGCAGCGGTAGGCCCAAGATGCTCTTAAAATCATGTTGTGAATTTGAATTAATTGGTGAACAGGTTGCGCAAGTCTTGACTCTCCAAGTCAAGTTGTGCATTGATCATTAGAGAAAGAAGAAAAAATACAGCCAAATTGCATGGGTCATTTTCGTGCTTGTCATGCGTTGCATTTGGTCTTTGTGGTGATCCAATGCACGCCACTTATCGGTCTGCATAGGGATGGGTGGGTATGACATTCTGAACAGAAGATTCTGGAAAGGAAAACAATGATAGTAATTGAAGTGCCTTCGAAGTTTATGATTGGGCATATGTGACATGAAGTATAAAAAAATGCTCCTAAGATATAAAGTTGATTATCTTATCTTGAACTCCTTAACTCCTAGTCTTTTCGATTGGTTAGGTCTTCTAAACTATATTTCATTGGTTGGAGTCAAGTTGTACCCCCCGAAGTAATGTTTTAATTAGTATTTTTGTATTAATAAATATTCTACTAGCATGGTAGCTTGATTTAAAAAAAGATAGATGGATCCGTGTCATAGATAGAAGGCAAATAGCTTTTAATTTTCTAAAAGAACAAAATAAACAAAAAAAGACTTGCGAGTAGCGAAATAGACAAATATAGATATATAGTCAAGAGTAATGCTTTTTAACTCTTCTCCCCCCCTTCCGTTTCCCTATGTTTTTTTCTTTTTTTGTCTGTGGTTTTTTTCTCTCTGTTGGGCGGTGTGGTGGCATCGTCCGGGGTGCCTTGGTGGTAGCGTTCACGGGTGTTTTGGTCGGTTGAGAGGGGCGAGCGAGGTATGGCTGGTGTTGGTGGTGGTGTTGCTGCGTGCGAGTCGACCGTTGGCAGTGGTGATCGAGGTACGGTCGGGGGAAGTTCGACTAGTTTCCACTGTGGAAATTGTTGGTTTTTGGTAGGTTCTCGTGTCACGTGTTGTCGTGTGCCGACGGTGTGGGGAGCGCGCCATCCGGGAAAGAGATGGGTCCTCGGTTGCTTGTGGTCTCAGGTGGTCGGAGCCGGAGGGGGTGCTGCTGCTGTTGGGGCGTTGCCGATGGGCTTTTTTGGCTGGCTTTCCAGCTTTGGCCGTGGATGGTGAAGGTGTTGTGGTGGTTGTTTAGTTTGTTGGTGTTTGGTGGTGTGTATGTGTTGTTTTGTTAGTGTAGTTTGGTTTGTGTTTTTGTTTGTGTGTTTCAGTTGTGTTTTTTAGTTTGTTTGTTGTGAAGTCTAGACAATGCCCGCTACTTTGTGTGCGGGGTGCAAGTGCAGAATGCGTAGTTGACTTTCTGTAGGGTTTTTCCTGCTTTGTTAAGTCATAGATGTTTTCCAACTTCGTTTGGCTGTGTCTGTTGTTGGGTCGTTGTGTTTGTTTGTTGGTGAGTCATGTATAGTTATTTGTGGTTTTACTGCGCTTGGGTAGCACTTAATCTCTCTTTGGAGAGCAATGTGTTGGAGGTTCTTCCCCTGTATCCGCTTTGTGCATTTTTAATGATATTGCTTTTCACATTAAAAAAAAAAAAAACAATGCTCTCTTGTTGTTCATTTGATGGAATGACATTTAATATCTAACTGGACTCAAGAAACTTGAGGCACACAAAATTTCCATTTGGTACACGATAACAAATAACATAGGAGCTCAATATAAAATAAATGAAATCAATTATGTTGATCGACAAAATTTCGCAAGTGTATAATATCGTAGCCAAGTAATAAAATTGTGAATAAAATATTGTTTCCACGAGGACAATGTACTTACTACTTACTCTAGTGTTAATTACTACTAACTCTCTAATCAAATAGTCAATTTGCGAATTGTGATTTTATAACTAATTATCTAACTAAACTAATGAGCAACTATGAAGTGTTTGTAAAATCGATTACAACACGCACTATGATTTTGGATCCCCCTTTATTGGTCCATTTTAATATATGTGGCAGTTTGTTAATCGTATACTTGAAAGAAGTAGGATCACGGGTGCAATAAATGAAATGTTAAGAGTAAAACCTACAAGGCTCTGAGAAGTTTGGGGCTCTTGCAGCAATTTTTCCTTATTTTATCGAGAGACTGTGTGGTTCAAAATGAATTAAAAAAAAAAAGTTTTAAAGATGCATGAACCTGATTATTAGTTGACTTTGATAACTTGGGGAAGCACTAGGCAAACGGAAGGCTAACTAAAAAAAATTGTATATATTTTTAGTATTTATACCTCCAATCCAGAATCGTTAGCTGCAGCAAGAAAAAAGTATCATGCAGAAGGCTAATTACTTTCTTCGTGCAATTTTATTGGTACAGTGTCTAATGGCCTGCAAAGCCATGGCAACAAAAAATATTACTACCGATCAATCTTCTCTTCTTACCTTCAAAGCCCACGTAAATTTAGATCCTTCACACATTTTATCGAAAAATTGGTCGGTTTCTACTTCTGTTTGTGTCTGGATTGGAGTTACTTGTGGTCTTCGCCACCAAAGAGTGACTGCCTTGGATATTTCTAGCATGAATCTTACTGGGAAGTTGCCTTCCCAATTGGGAAATCTATCCTTCCTCGTTTCTATAAACATAAGCAGAAACTATTTTCATGGTAGTGTTCCCCAGGAGTTGATTCAACTCCGACGGTTAAAAATCCTGAACTTCAGTTTCAACAATTTCAGTGGCGAAATTCCTTCATGGTTTCATTTCTTACCTAAATTACAAGTTTTGAATCTCAGAGAAAACACTTTTTCACATTTCATCCCACCTTCCCTTTCTAATATATCCATGCTCCATCATTTGGATCTTTCTTTCAATACTCTACAAGGGAAAATCCCGGAAGAAATTGGAAATCTTCATAACTTGAAATATCTTGCATTAGAAGATAACACACTCACTGGTGTAATACCATTGCAGGTTTTCAACATATCGACAATGGAAATTCTTGCTTTTACAGGGAATAACTTAACTGGTAATCTCCCCCTTCAAATATGCCATGGCTTCCCAAGACTCCAGGGGCTCTATCTATCTAAAAATGAATTGGGTGGTGAAATTCCTTCCAATCTATCAGAATGTATACAACTTCAGACCCTTTCTTTGTCAGTCAACAAATTTTATGGATCCATTCCTGGAGAAATTGGGAGAATAAGGACGCTTCAGTATCTAAACCTTGGTGTAAATGATTTGTCCGGTAAACGAATCATGATTGATGTTGCATTAGTACTATAGTTTTTTGTTTGAATAGATCAACATTTTGGTAATTGCAGTCTCTCATTCTGATTTAGCAATTTGACAGGTGCAATTCCACATGAGTTTGGTAATCTGGAGAACCTCAAAAAGTTGAGCATGGGATTTAATTTTCTTAATGGCTCTATACCAGCCAGTATCTTTAACATTTCATCATTGCAATTTATTGAGATTGTTCGATGTAACCTATCTGGTAACTTCTAATTAGATTCAAAACAACTTTTGCGTTTGTCCTTTGCATGTTTATACTGAAATTTAAAGAATGTTGTTTCTTTTAAAGTTTGAAAACTTCATAATTTTGTAGGTGTAATTCCACAAGAGAATGTCACTCTTTACAACTTGGAGCATCTTTATTTGGAGAGCAATAACTTAAATGGACCAATTCCAAACTTCCTCGGGAATTTGAGATTCATTGAAAAAGTATACTTGTCTATGAACAACTTCATTAGTAAATCTCCAGAATTGAGCTTCATCACTTCATTGACAAGCTGTAGATATTTAACAGAATTGGATTTTAGCAACAATCCTTTGAATGGCATTCTTCCAGTTTCAGTTGGAAATTTGTCCACTTCTCTTCAATATCTTTACGGCAATGATTGTGGTCTCAGAGGTAGCATTCCAAATGAAATTGGCAATCTCACCAATTTGATAATGTTAAGTCTGTTTGACAATGAGTTGACGGAATCAATTCCAGCAAGCGTGGTGAATTTGCAAAAGCTTCAAGAATTAGCTCTTGTTCGCAATAAAATAAGTGGATCTATCCCACGCTCTCTTTGTGAACTTCAAAATTTATATGAATTGTTGTTGTCACAAAATCTAATAACAGGTGCTATTCCAGAGTGCATAGGGAATATTACTACACTAAGGTCTCTATATATCAATACCAACAGATTGACTTCCACCATACCTACAAGCCTATGGCTCCTGAAAGATCTTCTTAAGTTGAATTTATCTACAAATACTTTGAGTGGCTCTCTACCTCAAGAAATTGGGAACCTCGAGGCTGCATTTCTTATTGATCTATCAGTCAATCGATTCTCAGGTAGTATCCCAAGCACAATTGGAGATTTACAGAAATTGAGTAATCTTTCCTTAGCACATAACGCACTGCAAGGATCGATTCCGGAGTCAGTGGGTAAGATGCTGAACTTGGAACAGCTCGATCTATCTCACAACAATCTTTCTGGTAATGTCCCCAAGTCCTTGGAGGCACTTACGCATCTCACGTACTTGGACGTTTCTTTCAATGATTTAAGTGGTGAAGTCCCTTCTGGTGGTCCTTTCAAAAACTTTTCAAGTAAATCCTTCATGTCTAATGAGGGATTATGTGGTGATCCTATATATGGTCTTCCACCATGTCCTACTGGTAGACGAAATAGAAGAAAAGTGATGCTTACAGTTGTATTTTCTTTGTTGGGGATTACAGTACTAATTTTGATCGTCACAGCCTTGGCATATGCAATTGGAAGATACCGAAGGAAAAATTTGGTGGAAAATACAGTAGACTTTGCATTTGGCACAATTCTAAGGGTCTCGTATTATGAACTTTTGCAAGCAACTGAAGGGTATAGTGAGAGCCATTTGCTTGGGACTGGGAGTTTAGGCTCTGTCTATAGAGGGACTCTCAATAATGGAAAGAATGTCGCAGTGAAGATTTTCAATTTGCAACAACAAAATGCATTCAAGAGTTTTGATGTAGAATGTGAAGTATTACGAAACCTTCGCCATAGGAATTTGTGCAAAGTCATTAGTACTTGCTCCAATCCAGATTTCAAGGCCTTGGTGCTTGAGTACATGTCCAATGGAAGCCTTGAGAGGTGGTTGTATTCAGACGAATACGTGTTGGATATTCTGCAGAGAATTAACATAATGATAGACGCAGCATATGCATTGGAATATCTGCACTATGGCTACTCAATGCCTATTGTTCACTGTGATTTGAAGCCAAGTAATGTTCTACTGGATGAAGATATGGTTGCTCACTTGAGTGATTTTGGAATTGCTAAGTTATTGGGTGAAGGAGAAAGCAATGCATACACTACAACCCTGGGAACATTGGGTTACATTGCACCAGGTAAAGCTTCTATCTTTTACTCCAGCCTTTTCTCTTGAGCATTCAGGTTACGTTTGGTCCCCTAGATTAGGCCGGATAAGTGTAGTTCAAATGGTTAATATTCTTATTCATTGTTAGCAAAAACAAAAACATAATAATGCTTTAGAAAGTTTTAGATATATTGTAGATTACAATACAAAAAGACATGTAATACAACTTATATATTTCTAATAATGTGCAACAGCAAACATAATACTGCTAATGAATTTCATAATATTTTTGTAGAGTATGGATTGGAAGGATCAGTGTCAATAAGATGTGATGTTTATAGCTATGGCATCATGTTAATGGAAGTATTTACACGAACAAAACCAAGTGATGAAAAGTTTTCTGGGGATTTAATCCTAAGGAGCTGGATCAATGATTCTATGCCCAATGCAATAACTCGGATTATAGATTCGAACTTGTTGGGGCTAGAAGAGCACAACACAAAAAAGTTGAAATGTTTGTCATGTGTAATGGAACTTGCTTTAAATTGCACCATGGAGAGTGCCAGTGAGAGGGTGAACATGAAAGAAGTTGTTGTAGCGTTGAAGAATATCAGATTTCAGCTTCTTGCTTAATAGAAGTTTTAAATTTAACAGCATAATGCAATGTTATCTCTATGTATTATATGATGATTCTGTGATTCTGTGGAGATTAAATATTTCGTTTGTAAAGTTATATGACAAGCAATCAATGAAATTTAGTTGGAATTTTCTTAGTTTACAAGTTGAATTCTCTAGAAGTCTTGAATGTATTTTAGAAGGGGTTAATTTCACAAATGGTCACTGAAGTTCCAAACTTGCATAAAAGGTCACTTAACTTTCAGTCACTTTCAAAAATGGTCACTGAGCAAAATTAAGGGACTTCTTCGTTCTAATTAAAACCTAAATTAACAAACTGAGGCCCCTTCAAAATTGGAGGGGCTGAATTGCAATTTCCTTTGGATAAAACCCCAAACCAAACCCTATCCCTTTCATTCGAACTTCAAACCGGCGAGAAGAAACTCCAGAAACACCGACCGAAGGTAAGCTTCCAAAAAGTATTTTATTGTATTTTATGGTATAAAAAGTTAGAATAATGGTTATGAATTTGGTTAGGATGACGGTAATGGATTTGGCTTTGGCTTTGGTAATCTGAGCCTCAGACCATTACTAGGAATGTCTTATCCAAAGCTTGGCCTAGAAGTGAACAAACATAAAATTGTAGTAATAGAAAAGAGAAAAAGCTGAGATATTTTATTTTCCTTTTCACTTTTTATAGACATATAGTAACTAATATTGAAAACTTCATGTGGAAGGTCGGATATGGATCGTGCGTAAATGATAAACAGAGACTAAACATTGGGTTACTAGAGGGTTCTCTAATGTGCTTTGAGAAGATATAAGAAGTAGCATATCTCGAAGAAGAGGCAAGATCACTATTTGCTTACAAAAAAAAAGAAAAAAAATAGTATGCCATAAATGAAAAATCTTGGCATCTTGAAGATTTTCAAGTGAGAAGAACACAGGATTTGCAATTAAAATTTAGACTCTATCCAATTTTTCCTGTACTGTGATTATATAATACCGGCTGCTTCATTTTTCAGTTTCTGCTATCCGGTATCTTCTGCTTTACTTACGAAAGAATGGATTTTACAGTAATTTTTGGTTGCATTTATCGCGTATTGAAATTTCACTCTTTTCATATAGGAAATGCATTGATGAAGTTCAGTAACATCCTTTATAAAAACATTTTTAGGATAAGACTTCTACAAATATTTTCCAGTTTCTTTGCAGATGGCATGGGTTGTAATCTGTGGTCAACCTTGTAGTGGGAAGTCAGAGCTGCAGCCTCCCTAGTTGAAGCTCTTCAAGAATCTGAAACGAAGCCATCAGTTAGAATCATCAATGAATCTTCTTTTCATCTTGATCGTAACCAAAGCTATGTTGACATGATAGCAGAAAAGAATTTAAGGTGAGTACTGACATCAGAAGTTGATAGATCTTTGTCACGAGATGAGATTGTCATTGTGGATTCCTTAAACAGCATAAAGGGTTACATGTACAAGCTATGGTGTTTGGCTCGTGCAGCCGGAATTAGATATTGCGTTCTTCACTGTTGACGTTGAGGAGGCCTACTGTCGAAAATGGAACAAAGAACGTAGGGAAAAATTGGAGTCCGCTTATGATGATAAAATAATTGAAGATCTTTTAAGGAGGTTTGAGAGGCCAGACAGCAGAAATCGTTGGGATTCTCCATTGTTTGAGTTATGGTCTTCAAGAGATGGAATTGAAAACTCCTCTGCTGCTATAGTGGATGCTATCATGTACCTGACGAAGAAGGTCGACTCGAAAACAAGGGATGTCAAAGTTTTACAGCCAACAATTGCAACACAAAATGCAAGGATTACTAAGGCAACTTCTCTTTATAAAATGGACAGAGCAACACATGAGGTCGGGCCCACGCCTTGTGAGATGTGGAATATTGTGAGTTGTTGTATGCTATGAAGTTGTAATGTAAATTACTATGGTGAAATTGTTGTATATTTTGGTGAAATTGGTGTTTTATAATATTGGAATATGAATTCTAGTTTTTTGTAGAATAAATTCTAAGGAGAAATTGTTAAATTCTATAGAGAAATTAGCAAAACAAGTTATTTATTATGAAAGGAAAAAAAAAATAAGCAAAACAGGTAAACACGTCAATTTGGGATTTTATGCAAAGGAAATTGCAATTCAACCCCTCCAATTTTGAAGGGGCCTCAGTTTGTTAATTTATGTTTCAATTAGAACAAAGAAGTCTCTTAATTTTGCTCAGTGACCATTTTTGAAAGTGACTGAAAGTTGAATGACCGTTTATGCAAGTTTGGAACTTCAGTGACCATTTTGTTATTTTGCTGTAACTTCAATGACCATTTGTGAAATTAACCCGTTAGCAAATTTTTATTCTTATTCTTTTTAATTTTTTTTAACAAATTTCTATCTTACGCGTTGTCCGTCCTCACTAAAGTGACGCAAATCAGTGTCATTTACGTTTTGTTCAACTTAAACAAATAATTCACTTTAATATCAGACGTAACGTTCATATGTTGAATTGAAAATGGCAAATGATCTTTGAATTGAATTTTTAGTACCATATCTTATCGAGATGAATCAACGTTTAGCTTGTTCTATATATCAAGGTACTCAAAAGTTGTGTCGAAACTCACAATGAAGATTCGAGCATGTTAAGGGTCAAATAGATATAACTAAAGATCAAAAGGAGTGAAAACAAATCAATTTTCCACCGCAAAAGGATGTCCAAATTTTTAGTTGGAGATTGAAATCCATTTTTGGC